GCTGCTGTGCTTGACAGAGCATGTTACTGAAGATGGTGGAAGATAATCACCCTCAAGGGAATAGATGTTTCAGTTTGCAGAAGAAATATCTCCATGATCACCCATCTCTTTCCAAAAGCTATAGGGGTGGGGTTTGTAATTTTATTAAAAGGGTGGAGGCAGAATCACAAAGTTTAACATTAAATTTTGCTTTTAAAAAGTCTCATGAAAACATAGAAGAGTTAACAAGGTAGACAATAACCTCCTCTTCAAGCTTGCTTGAATTTTTCATTGTGACGAAAAGCTAGAGGGATTTAACTGTGAACTCAGGTTTTATGAACTATCTCAAAAAATTGAGTTACCATGTCAGCAGATAGTAGGGTGACCAGATGTCCTGATTTTATAGAGACAGTCCCAATATTTTATAGGGCTTTATCTTATATAGGCTCCTATTACCCCCTACCCCCGTCCTGATTTTTCAGCCTTGCTGTCTGGTCACCCTAGCAGATAGATAAGGTAAGAAGCTGGCTAGCAAAAGGCAAAGGTTATTTTTGCGTGAAGTCAACTAGCGATGCTATATGTTTCAATATTACATGTAAGACCCATTTTATACACCAATAATGTGGAAGAAGGTACCTGCAGAAAGGGAGCAACATTTGCTGATAGGTATGGGGGCAAGCAAATACCCAGTTTTATGTTGTGGAGGAGGAGAGTAAGAATCAGAGTGACTTTAAAAACACAAGTACTTTATGAATTTCAGTCTAAGGTAATACAAATAATCCGGGCAGAAGAAAATGGGCACATTCCTATTTGCTCTACATTACAAGAAACCAAGCAGGTGAAACAATTTAGTACAGCAAAACAGTTAGGAAAAAGGCAAACAAAATTCTATAATACTGAAGTAATACTAGATTCACAGAGAGCAGGGTGATTAATCTGCTGATGGTGAATCAGATGCTGCTCTTCTGGCTACTGTTTGAAAAGTGACAGGGCAGCCAGGAGGGGAGGTTTCATGGTAATTGAGAGGATACATGAAGATCTTGGAGAACACCAGTGAAGGTACCTGTTGTTGGTGGCTGCTCATGGTGACTGAGTTAGGGTTTATGGAGTTACCTGTGAGTGATTGGGTGCATTTTACTTTAAGAATAACAAGACTCATGTGCATAGTGTAGACAAGAACACTTCATAGTGTAAATAAATAAGTATCACCATTCCTGACTCTGTAACATAAGTTTCTCTCCACCAACGGTAACTACCAGCTGAAAGGCCCTGAAATTGCTGATCACTCAGGTGAGGACAACAATACATATGGAGAGATACTGTGCAAAAAGAATTCTCCTTCTATAGAAGTTAAATTCTGAATATTATGCATAATTTTAGTCACTTGTAAATGATGTGATAAAAATGAAACTCATACGGAGTATCATCAAACGTCTGTCCACAACTAGTTAAGTCAGAACACAGTTTAAGAGCACTCTTGGATTCCTCACATAAGCTCTCATATAACAGCCACTGCAAGCAATGCTTTCTACCACCTATGTCTGGTTAGGGCACTGCATCCCATCCTGGCGGACAATGACCTGGCCTCAGTAATACACATCTTTGTCATGTCCCATCTGGAGTACAGCAATTCAATATAGTGAGGCATGAAACCACCAGCCCTCAGGAAACTGCAATTAATACAATATCAGTAGCATGTCTCCACAGTAACATAGGCTTTCACAAGCACATTTTACAAGCTTCCATTTACTATGCTCACTCCGCACAGAATATTACATCAAATTCAAGGTCTTGGGCCTTATGTTAAAGATGCTTAATGTTCTGGGGCCTGGATACCTTCAGAGATCGCCTAACGCTCTGGGACAAGAACTGTAGTCAACAACTCCACTCCTTGGACACAATAGAGTTGTCTACTGCAAAAGTAAAGCTCATTTATGCAAGAGGCACACCCTTCTTAGGGGCCTGTCCAAGATGGGATGTTGGGGGTTAGATTAGATGACCCTTGCAGTCCCTTCTAACCCTATAATTCTATGAACTCCCACAAGAGCTAAGAACCACCACAAATAACACCAACTTCCATTCAAAGCTGGTGCATTTTCTTCAATCTGGCCTTTGCTAGAAAAAATACATAGCATATATTAATTTTTTAAATGTAAGTTTTAAAAAATGCAGTTTTCCCGAGAGGGGAGGAAGAGAGAAAAGAACTACATATTACACGTTAAGATGTTAGTCACGTTGCTGAGGTGTTGGAATGTGCTCAGACAGCATAGTCATGGGTGTTGTGATAATTGGGCCTACAAATTTACTCTAAATGTAAGGCTCAACTGTAAAAAGTACATGAAGGTTCATAAGATGTCACAATAACCTAAAATAACAAATGTTGATGGGAAAAGGTATGAAAGAGGAATAGAAAGACTGAATTAGTCCAAACAAAAAGGCCTATTGATTTAACTCAAGGATCATGCTTGGTAAATAAGAAAAGTGTGGAACCAGAAACCAGTGAATCAAAATTGCTGTGGCAGAAAGTAGGCCTAATTGGTTGACAAAATAATACGGTCATGCCCACTATTCACTTTGTGGGTCTTCAAAGAAAGACTTTTGGGGAAAAACCCTTTTGGGTTTCAAATGTAGACAAGCCCTGATTATGGCGGAAGCAGTAGCAGCAGCCAGTTTTCTATCTCCAACAGCTTGTCCTGGCTCTGCCCACTAAATTTACTGCTGATGTCATGAATGTGTGCTCTGTATGACTGGGTGCATGCTCTTCTTCCTAAAAGCAGTAAGAGGAGGAGATAAACAAAGATCCAACCTAGTGTCAAATTAAAACCCCCACAGATCAAGTGTAATTGATGATAAACTAATAGTTTCTCTTTTTCTAAAATAAGAGGTCAGTGAAGAAATAGGTCATATAAAATTTAGTAGGAGTGTGTCCATAGGTTGCCTTACATTTGACTGTTAACTGGACATTTAGATTCACAGAAGACCTTAGCTACCCAAAACTGGATCACTGGGCAGTCTGCATCTGCCAAAATAGATGGGGAGTATTTCAAAGAAACCCTCCTACATGCCTCTTAAAAAGGACCAGATTTAAGTTGAGTTTAGAGTTTGAAATTATTCCTAAACCTGCCGCTGGACTCCCCTATCATATGTTGTCATTATGCAACCATGTTTTCCTATCTATTTTTTTAAAAAAAGTTTCTCTCTCCTGTTAATGTGAGAAAAAACTCACAACAAAAAAGAGCTGCCTATAGAAAAGATTTATATTTAAATTATCTCTATACAAAGAACTCTCATATTGATGAAGTAGGTAAGTTTGCAGGATTGGGCCGTGTGTGTTTAACTCTATTCACATGAATAGCCCCGGTGAAGTCTAAAACTGTCAAAATAATGAACAGTCATTTTCTGTCCAATATCTTTCAAGCTATAGTAATCTCAGGTGTTCTTTCTAACAGTAGATAAAATAATTCAGACAGAAGTATGGTTTTTAACTTGACAGTATCCCTTAAGACTACTCAATTTTTCAGTTTACTCTACTCTGCAGAAATGGGTTGCTCCTGATAAGTAAACACACACCAAACATTTATTAGAATTTACACTTAGAGGCTGATGTAATTTCCAGCCCCCCACTCCACCCTCCCACACACACATACACGTTTTTTAAGAGGCAGGGGCTGTATGAACTGTCAACAACAGAAATAATAATTCAGCACTTGTGGTAGCAACAGAGAATGCTGTAGCATGATAGGACTCAGGCAGGTCAGGAGTTTTCACCACTGTGTTGTCTAACCCTGGAGAGAATGTGTGTGCTCAGATGAGGGAGATGACAGGGTAGTAAAAATGTCTAATTTCCATTTCTATGTTACAGCTTTCACTATTGCTATCACTGATGGAACTAAACCAGTGGCCAATAGTTGTGAATCACAGGTTACATTTTTGCAAAAAAACAAAAACAATCATATGTACACACTCAGAGTGTGTTTGCAGGGCAGTGATTGTATGAACTTGGTGGTTCTCTCTCATTCTTTTTCTTTGCAATCACTTATGGCATCCACATAGCAACACTGTTTTTGGTAAAAACATTCTAGAGCATCATTATAGTGCATGTCTTACAAAGTTCATTTTACCGGTGTTTTCAGGAACTTCTGAAACGCAAATTCCACAATGCACAGTACTACTCTAGAAGCAAGGCTTTTAGCCAATACCAAATGCAAGACGCTGTACACTGGGAAATAAAGTTGGGAGGACTAGCTATAGTGCTTGTGGTTTCCTGTCCAACTTGGACAGAAACCACTTGAGACTATGGGTTTTGCAAACTAGAAACCATTAGAACAAATTACTGTAAAACACCTTGGATGGATGCTGTATATGGGCCAAAGTCATCATGTATTCCAAGCAATAGTTTACTACAACATTTAGTTTATGCATGCAAGACTACTACTGTCCTATCCATTAAGAAATTGATCTATTGCTGAAAATAGTTCTCAAAATGGATCCTTCTGAACCAGTGCCGTACACTGCTTAGCTAGTATAGACAATAACAGACCATTTTTAGCAGCGATATATTGTTATACAGATATAACAATAAGTTCAAACTCTAGGCACATAACAGAATCCAGGTACTCTCTCATCTCTTGTGTGGAGGGAATGTAACACACAAAAATATTCAACAGCAGCGGCAACATTCTGGAGGGGAAAAATGTTTTTTTCAATATAATTTTGATTAAAGGATAAATGTCATGTAATAGGTGTAGCTGTATATTTTTGCACAAGGAGCCTCCACTCACTCCAGAACATGTAGGTATGCCCATACAGAATCTCTCCTGGGAGTGGCGTTATGGTAGAGTGCCAAGAACATTGTTCCTACTTCATTACCTGTGGATACAAGGGGAAGCACTTATGTCTATTCAACGACATTTATAGCTGGAGGAGAAGCTGCAGTTGTAGTTTGTACTTTCACTATTAACCTTTTTATGTTAAGTAAACAGAAAGTCAGCCATATAGTTGCCCAGAGTTAGAGTACTTACCATTTGGGGTCCAACATTCACATTTATTGGTCCCAAGGTTTTTGGCAAAATCTTAGCTGGGGAATTGGTGCTGGAAACTGGTAATGCAATTACTGAAATGTTACCTAAAGAAAAGTGATAAAAAAACAGAATTCTAAATTATTCCCTTAAACAGTAAGCTATGAGTAATGCTTTAGTGACCTCTTTCTTATGTCAAATTTTGAAATATGTGAGTTTCTTCTTTTTCTTGTACTTTGTAAACATACCCTCACAAAAGGTTAAGGCCTTTTAACGAGACACTGTCAACTCACCAGGCCCCAGATTTTTACCTACCTTACAAGTTACGTATTAACTTACATACTTCCTGAAATAATATCCTCTTGTCTCCACAAAAAAGAGGAACCCACCGGCTGCCACATACTTTAATACAAAAAGTTAAACTCATGGGTGTGCCTACAAAAATAGACCCACACCTGGATGATTTTTCTGTATACTTACAATGGGCTAGTGCTGTCATTGTAGTGCCACCTTACCAGGATGAGGACTATGTTCACAATGCAAGAGGGGTAGTTCCCATTGCAAACCATCACCAAATAGTTGTGTGTTGGGCACCAATGTGGTGATGGAAAGTCCAAAACTGGTACTCCTGTCATGGAGGTTTGCATGTCAATGCATACTCTGTGATTGACAAGCTATCAGATCACAGAAACATTTAAACAACTGAAACCCAATGTGCCCAATTTGCTCCATCCCTCTGTCTTAATAAGCCCATGAGTATACTGACAGGAAGGATTAATGCGGAATTGTGATACAGACTTTAGTAGATCATTGGGGCAAGTTCCTGTATGTGTCCACAGGTGTCCAGGCAAAGTGCATATACCAGAATTTTGAAAAACTGTTCCCCACCCCCACCCCCGCCCCCCAAGAGCATGCAGAGGCCAAATCTCTGTTCCCACCAAACAACATCTGAATCTCTATAGTGGTCTAGGTGACCTACTGATATTATATATCCACTTTCCCTATGGCTAATGAAACCAGTCCTAAACCTTTCTCTCCACCACCTTGATTCTTTTCCTTCAGCCTTTGAGTATGCTGTAACATTCTTTATTCTAAAATCCCTTTGATCCACTTATCTTTCTACTGCCCATCTCCCTTTGGATCTAAGGTTCTTGACTATGTCCACCAACTGTCTTGACTTTCTCTGCTATAACTCTCTTCTGTATACCCTGTAATCCAGCTTCCACCTCTCCATGCCAATGAAACTGCTCTAACTCATGTCACTAACAACTTCCTCCTTCTCAGCCTTAAGGGCATCATCGCCGGAGTTGTCCTCTTCAAGGTATCAACCACTTTAACCTCAGCTGACTACTCCCATCATCTTCCTCTTGCTCTCCTCCCTGGATTTTTACAATTCTGCACTCTCCTAGTTCTCTTCCTATCTCATGAATCATGCATTTTGCTTCCACCTTTTCCTGTTCCATCAGAGTCCCTCAGGGTTCTGTCTTCGTCCATATGCCCTATCTTCTTCTCCCTCTATACTTTCGCATTAGGTGACTTCATCCATTTCCACAGTTTTAGTTATCGTTAAGATGACAAATCTCAAATTTCTCTTGCTACCTCTAATTTTTTTGTTTCTGTTTGCGTCTTGAATCTCTGAATGGCTCCTTCACATCACCTCCTTGATATATAGCCATCATCTCAAACTAACCATAACAAAAACAGATTTTTGAATCTCTCATCTTCCCTCTCTTCTGGGTTTTTCCATAAACTGACAGACAACACCATCCTTTTCCCAGGCTCACAACCTCAGTGTCATATGATTTGTCTCCTCCTTTGCCAAGTTGTAGCCAGGCTAATACCAAAGCCTTCATCCTTAAGGCTTCACTAAAAGTTCCCTTCCCTCTTCATCTTCAAATTAAAATTCCTACCCATGTCAAGATCAATGTCTTCAATTCTGACCTCTTACCATCTCATTTCATCTTCTTCTAGGCTATACAAAATGCTATTTGTAAAAACCATCCTGCTTGCATGTTGTTTAAGTCACTTTTCCTCATATTCCTTCACTGGCTTCCCCGTCTCCTTCGCCATCATGTTCAAACATTCTATCTTCAACTGCAAGGCTGTACACTCCTCTGTCTAGACCTCCATAATCATTTCCCACTACTCCCAGCTCCTGCTATCTAAGCATTTCCCAAATCTCCCTTCCAAATGGTTATTTTGTTTCCTTTACTCACTTGCCCTTGCTCATTCTTCCATGACTCCCTGATGCTCAGAACCTCCTCCCTTTCTGTACCTCATTTAAACCACATTTCTTCCATGAAAACTTTCAACAACAAAATTTAACCAGAACATACACAAATGGGGGGGGGGGGGGGGGTTACTTACAAGCACTGTAACTGTTGTTCTTCAAGATGTGATTCACATGTGTATTTCAGTCAGGTGTATGCACTCCCAGCACGCTGGAATCAGAGATCTTTCTGGCAGCAGTACCCAATAGGGCAGTGCATGCACGCTGGAACTCTTCTGGCTCCTCCCAAGGCTATATAAAGGGTGGTGTTGCTCTGACCCCTCTCAGTTCCTTTGAAATGAAACATGTCTCAAGACACCAAGGCAGAGGGGACAGGTCATGGAATACACATGTGAACCACCTCTTGAAGATGTAATAATTTTTAATTTGAACGGCTGCACGTGTATTCCACTCAGGTGACTCACAAGCAGTGCTGTTTGGAAGTGGAACTCAGAATCTACTTAGTGAGTGTAGGATTGCTTTCCCAAAGTTTGCATCAGATCCTGAAGAAGTTGTGATGGTGCAATGGTGAGTGGAGAGATGCCCAGAGAACCAGTGTCCTACAGATGTCCAGTAATATGGGAATATCCCACAAAAATGCTACCAAGGTAGCTTAAGCCCCTGTTGAATGAGCCAACAGTCCCTGCAGTGGATGGCTAATGCAGGAAATAATCCATTTGGAAATGGTTTGTGTTGAAATTACCTGACCTTTCATTCTGTCAGCAAAAGAGACAAAGAGCTGAGGAGATAAACTAGAGGGCTTAGTGCTGTTCAGACAAAAGGCCAGTGCTTGCCTTGCATCCAAAGTATGATGTACTCTTCATCTTCATTTGAGTACAACTTTGGGGAAAAAACAGACAGGCATATTATCTGGGTCAAATGAAATGCCCACACTACTTAATTAAAAACTGATGATGTGACCTCAAGCCTACTTTATCTTTGAATAATTAGGTACATGGAGGACCTGCCATCAGCCAGAAGCTCACCCATTCTTTTGAGTGATATAACTGCAATGAGAAAGGATATCTTTTGACAGAGATAAGGCAAAGAACAGGTTGCCAAATGCTCAAAGGGAGGACCCATCAGGGCCACTAGTACAGTGTTAAGGTCCAAAAGTGTGTCTTTTACAGGAGGAAAAATGCGAACAAATGCCTTTTAAAAATGTAACAACCATGAGGTTTGAAAAAAAATGACTTCCCTTGAATGGGAGGAAGGATTGCCAAGAATGGAGCTAAGCGGACTCTCAGCGAACTCAGAAAAAGACCCAAGGATTTAAGGTGAAGCAGATACTCTAAAATATCCTGGATCATAGCACCTGCTCACTAAATTCTCAGATTAGTGAACCAGATCGAGAAACACTTCCTAGTGGATTGCTTTCTACTAATAAGTATTTCCTGAACTGCCATTAAACAGTCTTTTCCCACTTGATCTACCCACTCAAAAGCCATGCCATGAAGTGCAGGCTGCTTGGATCTCGGAGCCACATCTCTCTTTGCTGCTGGGACAGCAGGTCTGGAAGAAAAGACAGAGGTCATGGGGGTTGAAGAGTCTGTGAAGATCTGAGAAGCAGCACAATCTTGACCATACTGGTTCACTGAGCATTATCTTGGCACAATCTTGTTTCAATCTGACCTGACCTGAGGGATGAGCGGAATGGGGGGGAAATACATGAGTGCCACTCCGCATCTCAGCAGAAAGGCATCAATCATTGATCCTGAACTGTGAACTGCTTGAGAACAAAACTGACAACAATTCCTGTTATCTTTTGTTGCAAACAAATGTTGACTGACGGAATCCTCTAGGCTTTGAATATGGTCCTCAACACACTGTTCTTTAGGGACCATTCATAATTCAAGGAAAAACTCCTGCTGAGCTGGTTGGCCAATTGATTCAGGAGCCAGGTAAATGAGCAGTAATGGAGCTATGTCTTCCTTAATGCAAATGTGCCAGAGTTTAATCACTTTCCAACAGAGCTTAGGGCACTGTGCTCCCTCTGTTTGTTCTAACAGTACATTGCAGATGTATAGTCAATGAGTATCTGGGCCACTGATGTGACGATCAAAAGCACAGCAGATGTTGTGAACTGTTCAAAGTTCCAGAACACTGATATGAAGAGCTGCCTTCTTGCTCCACCCACAAAGCTTGGGTTTGCAAATCCCGTGGTTGCATACCCCACCCTATCAGAGAGAGGTCAGTAACATTCTCTTGGTCGGAAGGGGGCAAGCAAATGGTATGCCTCCACATTCACCACTCTAGGGAGCACAGAAAGAACGTTGATCAATTTGTCCAAGGACAGTTTCTTCAGTAGATAGACTACATTCAGCCATCCCTGAATGATGTGCAGGCTTACCATGACAAGCAGGGTCACTTAAGCACATGAAGTCATGTGGCCTAGTAGACTTAAACATATCTGGACCGTGGTGACGGGGCGAGATTTGAGAGATGGGCTCAACAGGACAATCACCTGAAACCTATCTTGAGGAAGAAAAACCATCAATTTAGTTGAATTGATTAGGCCTTCAATGAACTTACTTTTCTGTCTTGGAACTAATTACAACTTTCCTTTGTTCTGCATGAGTCCCACACAATCAACGAGACAGACGAAATGGACATGGTCAGGGCTTAAATTCTGAGAGATTACTTTCTGGAGCCCGTCCCCCACCCATTTGGGGCTGCGGGCTTCAGCTGCAGGACCTTGAAGCGTTAGCCCTGCGGTGGAATGGACCTGTGGGGCTCCAATCCCACAGGAGGCACCAGAACTCCCACGGGTTTGAAAATATTTACCAGAGCTCTTCTCCAATGGAGTCCAGCTGAATTTAGGCCCTGGACATGGTGAAG